ACCGCAAACTAAATTGCACCCTCGCATCTCCCTTCTTTCATTCTTTTCCTAAACTCCCCCACTGTTCATACCTCCTTTCCTCTTGCTACCGCTGACGGAACCCCGGTGGACTCCGACGTCACGCGAACACGCAGCATTAAAATTTATTAAGCTGCTCTGACAAAACGCCTGCTGGCTGACGATCGTACAGTAACTTTATCTTCCACGTCAATTAATTAGGCAATAGCCTGTGCAAATTCGCGATTTTTCATATATTTCGAGGATATACAGCACTATAATTACATATGTAACTAATAGTTACATATATAATACAACTGTAAAATATTTTTATAGAAAAAAGCATAGAAACAACAATTCCTTATATTAAGTTAGAGGAACTTAAGATCGCGTATCTTTTGACGATTACTATATTTGTCACTTCCTTCATTAAACATTCGGAATCTTTAAAAGTCATTAGTTTCTAGTACCAAACAGTTTTGCTCTGTACAGCCATCTGCTCTGCATATTTATAATCACAGTAACTGCTTATACCATCGCTCTGTTAGCACTATCTTGTCAGGAGATTCAACAAAGATACTGTCAACGTTCAAGAGATACAATCTAAACAGTCGGCAATTACAGACTGTGCGAAGGCGTGTTTGTCGCGAGCCCGTTGCGACACGATGATGAAGTCATCCGCCGATTGCAAATAGGGGATTACACTCGCTTCTCTTACTTTCAATTATCTAACACCTCATATACCTTTCCGTTGGTATGCTCACATAACGATGGCGTACATAAAATAAAATAGTACAAAATAATATCTACCTATTGTTAATATGTTAAAATGTAACTGGATACAATTAAATTTATCTTTCCATTTAATTTTGTACAAATATACAACAATTAAAAAATTAACACATATTATTGTTGCCGTCATGTTTGGTCTAAAGAAGACGATTTTTTTTTATTACTAAAGATTTGATAATGCATTCTAAAATATTTTCGCGTTTATGCAAATTGAAATTCGTTGACTATTCAATGATATATTGACAGGAACGAAAGATAAAACATATGTATCTTTTACTGTGCTATTGCAATAGTAACGGGCTGTAATAGCATATTGAGAAACACACAAAAGATAAGTAACAGAAGCGAGAAATAATACCAGGTGTCCGGTGTGCAAAACGTGACTGCTCGATGTTTATTTAATATTTCATTTCTGCGAAACCTCATTTATTACGACGAAAACGTCATAATCACCTAATCTGAGTAAGTGAACGCATCGTAAATTGAAGTCTAACATTTCTCCCCTATCTATTGGTCTGAGTCTTTCCTTCCGTGAAATTTATTGGCCGGGTGTGTCTCATTAAACGTTGACCGAAATGAAATACTATTCGTCGATCGATCAAACGCATACGAAAGTCAACGTAGAACCGTGTGTTAAAACAACAGAACAAAGAAAAAGCAGCTAGAATACACAAACGATAAAAATACTATCGTTATCGATGTAAAAAAAACAACAGAATATAAATCGCAAAGATAAATGTAAATATATGTATCTAATATTATAATTTAAAACAGTATGTTAATTACATAGTACAAATAGAAACGTCAATACATATACTTTCTTTATGACAACTGACACTTTTATCAATTGTTATTGTAGTGTTTTAATTTGATTGATCATCCAATTATGTTTGATTAATTTTTAATTGTTACTGGAACGACTAGCTATCTAATGAAGCAATCAGTTCTTTTTCTGATTATACGTTTTTAGTGATTCTAGTAATATAACATATAAATATTTAAAAAATTATGGGTAAAACGTAACCAGACATAAGCGTTCTATAAAAAAATTCAAAAGAGACAAAGATTTTTAAGATAAAGAAAGAACATGATTAATGGAAAATAATTATCAATATGATGTATATAAAATAGAAGATTAAAAAAAAACAGTAGTAATAACTTTCTCAAAATTTGTACAAAAATAATAAATAAGAACATTCAAGAAAGCTATACATGTTTTAAACACCGTTATTATTTCGATTACTTAGAAATCTTATAAATTAACCACTACAATTCTTATACATTTCTCACGAATGCTTTCCACTTTGTTATGTCAAATATATATAAATTATGTAAACGTTTTCAAATATCTATTTATCTGGAGCGATTATCGGTCGTACAATATGCATCGTGCGGTTGTTTTACGAAATTCAGTATATCGTGGCGTGATACACAATTATTGGAATGCAACTACAGTTAATACCAATGTGATAATAATAATTGGATAATTATGGGTAAGCAACCGCGTCGCTGTATCTTTTCCAACTTTTATACCATTATCGTAATTCAATTTATCATGCGACCAAATGGTAACGCATTTCTCAATCACTTCGAAAGCATAAAGCTCGCAACAAAAATGTTTTATACATTTATGTACTACACAAAATAATCTCATCTTTGGCCTTTAGATCTGCTGCTTTTTTTCTCAATCATAATCCGTATTATAACAAGATGTAAAGCAAATACGATAAATTAAGAGAAAAATGAAACAATAATACGGCAAGCATTATGTTATTTTAATATTATTAATTATAATAAAAAGTATTAATAATTAATTAAATGTATTGATGTCTCAAGTTTTCGAATATAATTTTTATAGAATGTAGTATTACTGCTTACTGAAATTATACAACGAAACAATTATATTCATTCGTGAATAAGTAAAGTTATTCACACACATTTAATTTTAATTAATAAATAATCAAAACGCCATAAAAGATTTTTAAAAATCATTCATGAAAAGTAATTGGCAGAGCAATTTTCTGATATTCTTTTTTAGTTTATTGGTGAGAGAATCAAACATGTACGTGAGAAATAAATGAAATCCAAGTATGATAAATGTATACATATATCCCAACTGCGGAAAATACTGCTAACGACGGTAATTATCAATTGAAAGCGAGTTTCCGCCGGGCAGGAGCGATGCCTAATTGCATAATCTGTATACTGCGGTTATCCGGCATGAGAGTCTGGCCATAAAATGCCAACCTTGACGAGGATGCACACTTGCATACACAGCATCTCGCGTTCATCTCCGGCCGTTCGCATTTGTATTTGCGCGATATCGAGCTGACCGGATCACCAACTGAATAAACTAAAAAAATTATACATTTACAAGATCCTTTTTCGATGTAATAAAGGAAGGAAAAATAAAAAGATCAAACAAACTGAGCATCAAAAAATAGAGAAAAATAAAAAATTCACTTATTAATCACTTTATTCATTTATTAATTGCTTAAATGGACTAATATTTCCGTTTAAATTCACTATTTTTAATGAAGTTATTAATCATGATATTAATGTAAATAAAACTATTATATTCATTTTTGAATAAATTATATGTTATATTATTTATTTCGCGATTAAATAATAAACGCTATAAAAGATAATAGTTATCTTAATAATATGATATTAATGATAATATTCTGATTAATATTAATAACTAATTACTATATGTAATTTTCTATATAAGAATATTATATTGAATATTATAAGACCATTATATTGAAAAATAAATAACTTTTATGATAAAACGTTAGATATTGCAAATTTTCAAGTGTATCATTTTCCAAATAAAATACAGCTTGTGAATAACATTCTTTTTCTTCGAGCTTCTGTGTATGAGAACTTAATCACGGCCTTCTCTCTGATGTACATCCATTTATATCTATCCCATGAAAAATAATAGTTATAGCTGAAACGAAGAAAGCTAATAAACGCGAAGACCGTTCATCCTCTCTACGATCTCCAACAAATCTGTGCCTCGTGCGTGCCTATTTCAAACCGCGCTCGTAGCATTATTATTATTATTCATTCTTTTAAGCCCATTTATTTCAGGTTTGCAGAGAGTACTTATTACGCTCCCCCCTGCAATTAAAGGGTTATAATCTACGATGTCGAGCTCTTGAAAATTCAGCGCCGTGGGCTCGAAAGAAAGTCAGTACGATGCTGCGTATATACGCACAATAGGTGCCCGCTTTCGTCACTTTCTACATTTTTTTGCATTCGAAGTGAAGCAAACGTAATTTACTGTAAGAACAGGAAGGGGGGAAGAGGAAGAGACAAAACTATTGTGGAAATAGACAAGACGTTTGTTCGCGTCGCAGGCTGCAACATACTCCAACATGTTCCATCATGCTCCAATATACTCTACTGGAGCATGCCACGCGAATAAATCTAAAGTGTTGTGTTCCTGAAGATGTGTAGCAGCAGAATAACCCAGGTAGAACGGAGTCTTAATTAAGTCATAATGATATCACAGAACGTCATCATGACGTCATTTGATACTTAAAAATTAACTTGTAAGGAACGAATGAAGTTATGATGTTCTCACGATATTATTGTGACTTCTATGTTCTACTTGGGAATAACGTTTACATCCAGGACCGATTTTTACCAATTTTTTATTAGTCTTCCTCCTATATCATTCGCAGTCCACCTTATCTAATTCCACTATGGACGAAAGTGCGGAGTGCGTCCAGAATGCTTGTAAACGTCATTTGTCCTTCCCAGTAAACGAGAATGGATCGAAATGAATTCAGATTTTCAGAAATATGAATTCACGAATGTTAAAATGAATGCTTTTCAATCCTGAATGCATTTTTATTCGTTTATAGGAATTGCATGGAGCATATCTTTATGCCTTTCAATCCAAAAATAATATCAGATTTTTCTGTGCATTGTGAATACTGTTCAATTCAAAATTTTGAATAGGAAAGTTTGTCAATCCATTTACATCCAATTGAATCCAAAAAAAAAAGTATTCGCTATTTAAAATATGCATTCGGATAGAAAAAATTTCAATCCATTTTAAACTACTCTCGTTTACTCTTGTTTAATATTTGATAAAACAAAGATAATATGATGCTAACAGCATGTGAGCGTGAAAATGGAAAGCATTCGTGGAGACACGATGTACGTAATAGATGCATGTAATACGAAATTGGACTCACCGGCAGATTTCTGATGCCCAGCCGCACCTTGGAGTACTTCTTCATAAACACTCGCCAGAGCACGTAGGCCATGGCGACGGCGACGATGACGAGGATCGGCGCCGTTTTCGAGGCCGGTGATGCTTCTCCCTCGATGAAATCGTCGTCAAAGACAACGTCCGTCGCACCACACGCGAGTCGTTCGATCGTCAGGAATTCGCGACATCGCGGACGATTCGCGATACGATTACACGCGACACGAATTCGCGAACCGGAGTCACGATTGTCACGAAGGGCGCCAACTTCCGCGCGAACGTTGGCACGAATCGTCGCGAACGCGTCCTGCGGACTTTGAGATTACGTCACACAATTACATCGCACGATTTGCGGACGCCGACAAGATGGCGGATGCGCGATCCGAAGCACCGAACTTCTAAAAGTCTGCTTTCTGTGGCAGAATGCACTTTTGGAACTTAAAGTGAGTTAGTGTTTGATATTTGGCGAAAAGCGAGAAAGAGAATTCTAGTATTTGATAGCTTTTAAAGCGTACTTCTGCGAATTCTTGAATCGGAAGTCCGATTCAATTTGGACTTGGAAGACGGCGAAAAACGTACCAAATTTGAACGGCAGGACGAACGGTTAGTTCGGTGATAATCTCGTCCCGCCGCGCTTCGAACTCACCACACGAGATCGTCGTTACGAATCACAAGTTACGCGCGATGACCTCCGTTCACGTCACGCGTCGCCAGCTCGGTCTTTTGAATCGGCGACGAACTTCACACGGCCGACCGAAAGCGGAACGGTTACGAAACAGTTGCGCGCCGACATCGCGAAATTCGCTCCGCTCGTGTCAACCTTCGCGTCCTTCGCTGCGCGTCGGTCGCGCTCGCGGGCAACTTCACGCCGGTCACGTGCCTCGCGATACGAACGATGCGCAACGGAAAAAATTCAAACGGAAATCACGAACGAAGGTCAACCACCGCTGTTTGCACGAATATTATCTATGAGTAAGTAATGCTTACTCCTTTATAAACAAGATTCTTGCAACTTGCAGTAAAAGAAGAGTCACCGAGTGCGGACAATAGATTTATAAAGTTTCTGGCGGAACTAACCGCCTTTAGTAATCACTTCACAAATATCTGTATTCACTTGAACCGTCCATTCGATTTATACTTGTGGAAAGTCGGAGTCGGAAAAGATTTGCGACTGGATATGTCATCTCCGAATACGAAGTCGAGACTATTCTTCAAAAGAACAAAAAAACAGGCTATTCCTTCTATTCGATGGATTACGTCATTCGATTCCGCGATCGCGGTAGCTCAAAGCGATCACGTCACTCGCGTTGATCGATGTCCAAAGAAGTTTCGTACTCGCGGCGTTGCCGAACAGTCGTGTCTCGCGTAATCCGACGCGCGTCTCTCACAATTATTCACAAAAAAAGAAACACACACGTACAAAATGCCACAGCGCGAATTAAACGCGTTATACCTACGTTAGTCAAAGGCGCACGTGATAATCACGGCGAACAACACCTCGCTCCTGCAACTCACGAGTCGCTCGCGTCCAGACGCGCTTCTCGGCAACCACCTCTCGCCGTTCATACTGGCGCGAAAAATCGTCCGGACCGGCGTAGCGTCGTCGGCACGATAGAGCGGTTATCACGGATCGCATAGATCGAAAGTACACGCCATACGCCCGCCGGCGTCCGCTGCCGCGATGTAACTGACACGCGACGCGACACACGCAACCGTCGGCGCGCGCTCTCGCGACCGGAGTTGCCACGAGCCGCCGGCGAACGCCGCTTGCTTTCGTGGAACGCGACGAAACAGAATATCTTGAATGAAACGCGTCGGCGGAGCGCCGCGCATCCCGTTTTATCGGTTAAAATCTTTCAGACTACCTGGTATAAATATTACTGGCTCTTATTGTTTCTCTATTGTATGGAGAAATTAACGCGGAGCGCACTACTTTCTGCGCCTGATTCAAGATTCACGGCTTCCGACATGGCCGATGTACGCCAATATTGGTAAATATTACACGCACACACATGATGTACAATTATTCGTATGAATATAGGGCAATGTTTAATGAATGTACGTAAAGCGGCGTCTACAATGAAATTTTTTAATGTAAAACTTAAGCTTTAAACCCTGAACCGTAAAATATTGACCAATCACAATCGAATGTGAGGAGAATAATTGATTATGATTAGTCAATTTCTTATTATACAGCTTGAGGCTTAATGGATCAATTCTAAACAGAATCGTAAGACTCGTAACATGTTCTCGTAAAACTTGTAAGAACTTATGACTAGTATTCTAATTTTATGTATATTCTAATTTTATGTACCGCAAGACGTACGATTATTCATAAATATTTACGGTTTTTTGTAAATTATATGGCTAGTAAGAAGCTGTCTGTAAAAATAATGCATAAAGGTATAAGCACTTAAAAATGCTTACAAGTCTTACAAGAATATGTTACGATCGAGCCTTATGATTCTATTTAGAATTTAGACATAAATACCAGGGTTGGGTAAGTTAACATTTTTTCTTAACTAAGTTAAGTTAAAGTTAACAGCCTTGAAAATTTAACTTATTTAAAATACAAGTTAATCCATAATGAAATTAATTGAATTAAAAGTTAAGTTAATAAAAAAAGTAATTGAAAAGTTAAAAGTTAAATTTATTCTCGATTTGGTCCGAACGAACAACCAAAAAAAAAAAGAAGAAAGAAAAAGTTTGACTATTTTACATAATTTTTCGTATTTTTCCTTTCTCACAGCATATTTATTAAAGAATCTGGTTTGTTCACAAATAATGATTATACAATATATAATTACTAAATTATATACTCATTATCCTCTCGCATTGTGTCTGAGGATTAACTTCAAAAAATCAAATTAAAAGTTAATAGTTACCGATAAAATGTAACTAAATTAAGTTAAAAAGTTAAGAGTCTAAAATGTAACTAAGTTAAGTTAAAATTAATTAACTTTTTAACTTAGCACTACCCAACCCTGATAAATATACCTTAAAATTTCATTGTAACCGCCGCTTAAAGTGACGCGACTTACAATGACGTTGTTTATTTTAGTGTGGATTCGTCATCTGAAATATTGGCAAGTATTTATGAATCTGTACATCACGATCTGATAATTAATTATTATCGAATATAAAAATATTAATACAGAAAAGAACGGATTTCAGTGAGACATGAAGATTCTCCTGTTTTTCGAAACGTCTTATAACGTCAACATTTTTTTAAAACTTTGTTTGGATCACATGAAGTATTTAATTGCTGTGTATATGCGTATGTTTATTTTCTGTGGACGTATTCGATGTAACGATATTCATTTTGACTTGTAACATGTTCATATACTCGAGAAAGGAATCGAATACTGCCTTTTGTTAATCAAATTATACCATTAAATTTTATGGACTGTCGGAAAGATAATAGCACATTGCCTGCACATAAAACATGAACTCCTGAGAACGAAATAAAAACTGCTGCCAAGGATCGATTTTCGTCACGCAACACATTTGTATAACGTTTGGTTCCGACAAAACAGAAACGAAGTGACAACGTGACAAAATGTTTCTCGTACTTCGCAATTAGCATCAATGCTATTCCACGCTTTCGCTTCACCGCGTACTATGTGTAATCGTATGTTATCTTTCATTTGCTCGTTTTTTTTTTTTTTAATATTAGCCGCCATTATTGCAACCTGCGTTACGTCGCTAATTCATACGTGCATTACGAAGAGACTAAAATGCTTGTTATATACAAGTACACACCTTCACCCCCACGGGAGACAATGGGTGTGTCTGCTTCACGTGACGGCCACGTGAGCACCCTCGAAAAGGGCTTTCCCGTTCTCCGGACGTTCATTCATTCAGCAGGTCGGCCTGTGTCGTGGGCGGCGGTGATGACCCTAAACTTCTCCGACCAAAAACCGAAAAGAACCGAGACTGGTTACGAAAAAAGGGCAGAGAAAACGTACAATCAGCTTGATGTACCGTTCAACGGAATTAAAAGAGATTGCCTCATCATTTTGTGCCATTTCCAAATTTGTCCGACGAGATAGTATCCAAGATTGCGGATCTAATTATTTCTCGTAAATATACATACATGTCTTCCGCGTAAAGGTAAAAATGTAATGAGGGAACATTTGCGAGAGAGAGAAACTTTCTATTTAAAAACATAAAAGATGTCTCAAATATAAATACAAGCTCAACAAAATCTCAATAAAGATATCTATACTTTCTCACATCAAATAAAAAAGAATATTTATCTTTTTTTTTTTAAATATAATAAATATAATTTTTTTTCCATTTATTTTTGTCTACTATAAATTTTGTTTAAATAAATCTTCATAAATATAAATGATCGTGCCTATCTCGTCTGTATATTTATTTTCCTGTTTTCTTTAATCAAAGTCTCATAAAATCTCTCTTTATCATGGCGCAACGTTGTTACTTATATCGTTACAATCTTATCCCATCTCACGAGACACACGATTCAGAATGTTCTTAAGATTACGATATCGGGCGATGCGATCGTGCATTCTTAATAGCTGAACAATCGTTTTTTGCCCTCCTTTTTATGATCGAGAATCTGTAATCGGGCAATTACTTAATCGTCAATTTATTTCGATAGCGACAAGCTGGATCCACGATGTGGCGCGGCAATTATTTTACTTTCCGCTTTCGTGGCGAGCGTGATCACGCACGGCGCGCAATTGCTGCCCGAGATCGCTGCGCTGCATTAATCGATCTTTCTGTCGGACACAGCATGCGCGCATGAGGTACACTCTGACAGAATTAAGTAGATGTCAATGCGTTCCCACGTGTCCGTGTCTCGTCCGGCGGCCATTTTCGTGCCCGGGATAGATACTTATAAAAGAAAACACAGACGTCTGTCATTTCGCAACGCTGTGCGCTGCCTTTCCTTATAGCAACGCCTCGGTCAGTCGACCGATCCTCGCAAGTCGTAATTACTGTCCAATGAACGTTACGCCTCTGGCAGTCCTACGAACCATAAAATACTTCGCATTCTACTCCACATTAAGAATTTCAAGATGTCTTCGTATCTTTTCGCGAGTTGCAAATGTCCCTTTACAAAAAAGTGCATATAAACTAGAAATCTTTATTTCTATGGTTATACGTGAAGAAATATGATGATCTTTATCACGCTTTGTCGGAAGAAAAATGAGAGTAATTAGAAAGTGAATTGAAATGTATATCACAAGAAAGACGTATCTTATAGTATCATGTATGTGTATCTATGTTTGTGTATCGCGTTGAAATCGTAACGAATCGTGAATCATTGACCAAGTTCGTTGAGTAAGAGGGAGGGTAACGCCGCGAACGTATACCACCACGAATTGACGATAGATAATGCGAGAGAAAGAGATCGTATTTATCGCGATCTCGCGATGGACACGGTCGGGTTACTCGGAGGTTAATCGAACAGCGTGGTGTGTGTAACGACAACAATTATTATCCGATCTAGCAAAATTGTGAC